TGCGAAAGGTGCAGTGGTGTTCGTGCGGCCGACGCACGATGGAGTTCCGGCAACAGCGAGAGCGAGATTCATTCCCTGACGAAGTCTTCTATGCGGGAGCCCTGCACATAGACCTGCAAGCTCGTGGCATTCGTCCTCACTTAACTCGTCACTCAATCCCCCAACCCTATGGCTCCGACATCAGAGAACTTCTGCTCAATTGACCTCCTGACTTCCGAACCACAAACCTTTCAGCAAAGCGGAGACTGGCGAAGGGCTGCGTCGAGCTTCATGCCAAGTCCGGCAGGGAGGCCCCTTCTTGCTTTGGGGTTCTTGGCTTGAAATTAGGGGCTTAGGACGGTATGGGGCGAGGGTTATTTGGGGTCCTTATGACGATGAGGGGTCTTTGTGCATCTAGTGACTCTGGTCTGCACATTTCTGCTGTGAACTCCACACTAGCCGCTCAAGCCTCGGGCATCTATGAGGAGAGTGCAGGGCTCAGGGTCCTGCTGTAAAGGTGAGGGTAAGTATGGGTTGGGGGTTCAGGCTCATGTTATAAGCAGGGGTTTGGTGGTTGAGGGTTGGAGGGTTTAGGCGGTTTAGGCTCCTTCTGTAGGATGATCGCTGTTTCGAAAGCCTCCAGGACCGGCGATATCCGGCACAAAGCCCATGCATCCGATACACCCTAAGTCAATGCCTGAGCCTACGAACCTCAGTATCCTCATTAAACAGGAGCTATGAATGTATCTTGAATGATGTTCAGGGGGGCGAACAACCTGTTCTCCCGAACCAATCCCGAATTCTCTACCGTGAGCCCGGAAAGTACGCCTCTGATAGAACACGCTAAAACATCGCAAGCGTTTAGTGATCTGTTCTTTCGCCCCGTAGTTTGTACACTCTGTTAGCGTGGCTTTGAAGCTTTTAGTCAAGGACTTTTTTCCAAGATTGCTTGCTGATCAGATTGGCTGCGTTGGCGCCGGGGCTGTGATTGGCGAGCCAGAGGCTGGCGCGGGATTTTTAGCGCAGAAGTGTTGGATTTACCCCGTCTTACGGAGTTCAGATATTAGGGGCGTACGTCTAGGCTTCATAAGTTACCAGGGACGCCTTAGAGTTTGGGCTCAGGCTGATCGGAGCTGCTGCTTTAGAGTTGTTGCTTCGGTGCAACCGTTTCAGGCATGCACAACCTTTATCCACCTCTGGAGTTTCCATTTGTTACGTTATTCAGGGGGCAGGTGGGAAGAGCTACTGCACATGGGAAGAGTAGGGCGGGTTTGTCAGAGCCCAATGCTGAGCAGGAAGTTCGGCCCAACAGGGATAAACCCCCACACTTGGCACCCAACATGTCTGCCACAGGCCTTGGGATTGCTGTCTTTCCGGACCGCCACCGCCGCAGTCCAAGAGACGGGAGGTGCCTGATTGCTCATGGATGTCAGGATGTCGCTGGATGTCATTTTTATATTCATAATATGCATGCTGTGCGTATATTTAGCATACTTGTACTTGTACATAACATATGGAGAGGGCTTTTCAGATACGTACATGTGTGTAAGCATGCGTATACATGTGCGTGTTTTTTCGGCAAATTCCACCTGCAAGTGCAGACCAAACTCTTGAAAGACAGCCAAGTCCTATAAACCCTTTAGGGTCTGGCCCTGAACCTCGTATGTGTGAACTTGCCTTTCTGGGGGCCGAGGCTGTTGCAGTGACTTCCTGCCGACTGCTGCCTGTGAGCTTCGAGGTGCAAGACACTGGGCATTTTCCCTTTAGGGTTTAGGAGCTTATGGGTTTGAGGGTTTAGGGTTTAGGAGCTTATGGGTTTGTTTTGGAGTTGAGCTGTTTAAGGGTTTAGGGTTTAGGGCCGAGTAGGGTTTAGGAGTCTAGGGACTGAGGAGGAGTTTAGGCCGTAGGAGTCTTGGGGTTGGCAGAGGGTTTGGGAGTGCAGGAGTTTAGGGTTTTGGGTTTTAGGAGGTTAGGGGTTTCGGGGTTTAGCAAGGGTTTCGAGTTTAGGAGTTTAGGGTGTCGGCAAGAGGCCCTTCATTCCATAATGCCTTAGCCCCTTTAAATAAACCCTGAACCCTGAGCCGGTGGATCCAACTCCTTAAAAAAAGATCCTCAAATCGCAAGCGCAACAGCCTACGCTGTCCGCGACGTGGGCCGACTGCTGCGTAGTTTTCTAAATTTGGGTCCTTCTTCGGGCCCATTTCATAACGGTGCCGTGCTATTTTGGGGACCTAAACAGGGACCCTAATTTAGAGAACTACGGTTCTGCAGGCTCTGACACAAGCGCTGTCAGCCCCGACGGCAGCGACTCTGAAGGAGGCCCCGAATGACAGGAAACTCCTGGAAATTCCTAGCTTTTTTTAGGAGTTGGGGTTGAGAAGTGGACGGGTTGAGGGGCTGTAGTCGGGCTGTCGCAAGGGTTTGGAGTTTGGGGTCCCGTAGGCTTTAGAAGTTTAGGGTTTGGGGCTGTAGGGCGAAGAGCGGGGCCATCCAGGTGTCACTTTCTCGTCCCGTTCTTATCCCTTGTTGGCTCCCCTTGTCTGGTCCGCCCCGATGTCCTTTACCCCAGGCACTCCCTAAGCCCTACGCCTCAGCAGTCGACAGATTTCGGATGGTATGCTAACCCATAGGCCCCATACTGTAGTAGTTCCTGTTTGGGGTTCATATTTAGAATCCTATAAAGTAATCCGAAAAAGGAACTACTATGGGGCCTATGTGTATACTGGGGGTACCTTACGTATAGGATTCTATGTATGAACCCCAAAAAGGAACTACCATGGGGCCTATGGGTATAGTCTTTTCAAAGCTACGGATGGTGCCGCCCAGGGCTTCAAGCAGCTTGTCGAGGGGAGGCGATCCCAGGCCGGCCCGGCCACTCTCATGGTTAGGGGGGAGGGGGGGGTGAATCGGTAAGAGACTCATAGGAGGCCTGAATAATTAGAATAGGGTTTGGGGTAATATACTATAATTAGAGTAAGGAACCTCACTGGTTTTGGAGCCCCCTTTTCCCCAGTTTTGGCTGTACTGTCGGCTTGGGGAGACGAGTCTGCTACCTCTAAGCCCACTTCTTGGATCCAATCCTCCAACTCCCATCCGGGCCCTGCAAGGTCCGGGAAAGCCTGCCTCTCTCGGCCATGCTCAACCTGCGCACATCTTTGGAGGAGGAGCTGCAATACTCCAGTGGGGACGTTTCTGCATCGTAGGCCTCCCTCTTCAGGCCCTGGAATAGTCAGTCAGGGATGCCTGCCCCGATTTAGACGATCACACCATGCCTTCCGGTCACTTTCTCCTATTGGATTGGAGCCGCACTGAAGGACGTTGGGGCGCAGCTTCTTTGCCTGAGGGCCGAACGCTTGCCGCTTGAGCTCCTTGACTGTTGGACCTTTTGTGAGACAAGTCAAGCTGCCAGAAGGTGCCGTTTCGCCGGAATGCACCGCAACAGAAGGGACTGAAGCAGAGTGTGCCGGGAAGCTAGGTCACAGACCTGGGCTCATTCCTGGAGATTTATTCCTTCCGTTCCTTCCCGATAATCTGGTTGAGTCGGGATTGTCTGCAGAGTCTGCGCATGTTCATTGCCAGCTCTCTGTCCATCTCTTTGTTCTTATGAATATGTATGTGTTGGAGTAGATAGATAGTGGATGAGTAGATAGCGATAAGTATATATAGTTTGTATCTCTTGTCTCTATCTGCGCATCCATCCATCCGTTCTTCTCTCGAGTGCATGCCCACGTGCCCCTGCCTTACGAGGCACGGCATCTGCTGGCATCCGGTAGCGGACTCCGACGAATCCGGGCCAAGATATTCCCTCGTCGTGCCACGGACTCGGTGAAATCCTGACCTGCAGAATCCCTCCTTATGTACGGATGCGCACACATGTACAGGCGTGTATCATGTAGTGTGTATCCATTTGCGTGTGTGTGTGTGTGTGTGTGTGTTTTGAACGAGCCTCTTTGAGCGCAGTTTTTCGGAAGAGCCGAGGCGCGGGCGCGTGGCCATGGAGGTCTCGCGTGGCGAGGGCGAGCCATTGGACTTCCACGTCAAGTGCCCGAGCTCAGCTATCCTGGAAGTCAGCAGTTCGAATCTAAGCCCGAAAAGCCGTACCGTGAGAAACCCTAAACCCTTGAACCTATTGGCCATAAGGCCGGCTTTACTGCAGGGCCTCTCGACCCTGAAACACTGAACCCCTAAACCCTGTCCTTCTCAGGGACAGTCCCTGCAGTCCCGGTTTGAGAGACCACAGTAGCGTTCGTTCAAGGCCTCAGATCAGAGCTTGTGGTTCTGAAGACTTCAAGTGGTCATGTCATGTGGGAACCAACCATCTCGCAGCTTTGAGTCATAGCAGATCTGGGTCTGTCTTGGGCTAAGGCAGGGATCCGTCATACCGGAAGGTATACTGGCCGGAGACCCAGAAAGCAGGAGCAGTTTCCGTGGAAGGGGGTGCGGGTATTACAAGTCACATCTGCTTAAAAGCGGAAGTATAACTGTGAAGAAGATGCCGCATCCGCCAAGCAGCAACGAGCATGCTAAAGTCCCTGTCAAGGATAAGCACAGAGAGCCTCAGTACTTAGTCGGGAGCTTCCCGTTGTTATTGCAGTGCCTCGAGCCCCAACTTGTCGGCCTCATGACAAGGCGGCTCATGGCGCCTACCTGCGGGCCGTGTCCGGAGACTGCGAGGCTCTTCAATTTCCCGGTTTCGGGTCTGACAGAGACTGCAGGCGCAAAGAGCTAAGCCAAGCATTCCGCAGGTCTACCGGGTTTGGCAGTACGACTTGCTCCAAGCGGCCCACGTGGTAGCTCAGGCAGCTGTGCTACAACGCCTATTGCTGGAGAGGGCTCCGACTGAAAGGGGTGATCAAGATTGGCTTTTCCATGTTAGCAGTGTTCCTCATATATGCAAGTGCGGGTTGGGCTTTGCACGCCGCCGCACGAGAAAGAGGCCCACGATTGGTTCTACCAGCTGCGGGTGCTGGAGAAGGAGGCTACTGGAGCGAACAGCTCAGGCTTTAGCAAACTGGTGCTGTAACATGGACATTCAAGGCGTTGCCTCCACCTGTATTTGCCGCTGTATGCACTTGTGCCTACCGAAACCTATCGTGGTAAGATGGGAGACTCGAGCCACATCGGCTTCGTGATTGCTCTGACACCTCTTCTAAGCGCCCCCCGCCCCTTAGGGTTTAGGGTTTAGGGTCCCACTTCAAACCTAAGCACTCAACTCTGAACCCTCCTGGACCCCAGACCTGGAGCCCTGTGTCCTAAAACCCCAGCCCCTGGACCTTGAGCCTGACCTAAAACCTGAAAGCCGCCTGGACCTTGAGCTTCATACGCTACGCCCTGAACGCCCCAAACCGTATGTGTATATGGATATACGTATATATATGTATATATATATATATATGCATGCATGGATATATATATATATAT